TAAAATCCAAAATATAAAATAGATATTGTCGACGTCATTCGCATTTATTTGTTTTACAGTAGTACAAAATGAATAAGTGCACATCAATTTTAATGTATACACACAGTTAAATTAGCACCTAATTTGTAAAGCGGTATCTACTAAAATCGTTTACATAAACAGATGATATTATACGTTATCAGCTTAATTACACGAAAACATTAAACATTTATTTTCACTAACAGTAGGTACTTACTATCATCGACTTTTTTTCTAATAAACTACACACAGAACCGATATAATGTACCAACTTCTCTCCAAAGTGGGTACGGAATGTTTAAAAACTAACCACAGATTTCATTAATAATAATAAATTATGGGTATGGACAAAGATTTGTTTCTGGCGTGCGTTCTTACGTATCTACATTTCTCTAATTAGAAGATTTTGTTCAGTGGAGAACTATTAGAAAATTTTCAATATTTAGTTACATAAAATACTAATGGCGATCACAATCAATCTATGCCTTATAATAATGTACGCGCTAATGCCTACTCCTAAAGATTCAATTTTATTCACAGTAAATATTATAAAAATATTTTATAGTTAAATTGTAAGAAAGAAATTGAAACGTTGTTAGAATTATTCTATAACCGCGACCGTCGTAATCGTAGATTTTGGGAATACAGCTCCTGAGTTGAACTGCGCATTAAGATTTTTAGTATTTGAAGATATTTGAACCTGTTTATTCTAGTAGATGGTCAAATCTCGGCTAAATGGGTAGCCATGTTAGAAACAAGGTCACCCTTGTTTATTCCAAAAAACCTTCACTCCTATTTCAAATATTTATTAATTTCTTGTGAGAATTTACTAAATAAATGTAAAGAAGTATCCAGGAACTGAGTTTTTCATTTATTTTTGTCTGTGAATTTATTTGTTAGGTAAAGAAGTCATTAATTATTTGTAAGCACACGTAATCGTCATTTGTTTACTCATAATTTTCCCTCGAATTTCATTTTAAAGATTGTCGACAAGCATCATATAAAATTAATGGAATTGGAAGGAAAGGAAAAATTGTCATTTAAGGTAGAGAAGTAGCTATGTATCAATTCATTATGACAAAAAAAACTTAATTATCTACCTATTACACGATGATGACATTGGAAAATAACTTAGGCCAGCAAACAAAATTTCTGTCACGATTAATTAATCATGTGATTTATATTTAAGTGTTTAATTATACTTTTATACTTCCTATTATTTAATTATACCTATAATAAAACTATCTTAAATGCAATAATCCATTCAATATTTTCAAGCGAATTAAAATTCTTTTGAATAAATCAATTAATATTTTATTGTAGATAGGTAGGTACATACTTAAAACAATTTTGACTAAAATAATACCCATTGATTTTTCGTAAACTTATATAATAACGTGGGCGTAATTAAAGGTAATTTTTAACTACTTAAAATATTCTTAGTTTAGATCACTTTACAATCTTACTCTGAACTAATTAAAGCTATCCCATCAACATCTCAAATCGTGCTTTAAATCGACGTGAAAGCGACAACAGTGCAGCTTCGGGCATTTTGCAACCTCAAAATACTGTCAACAACATTCATAAATATTAAAGTAAATTAAAATTAATAATTAAAATTCTGAAACATTTCTTCGGAAGGAACAAATTTAACGATAATTTACGTGAAAAAATAAGAAATTTGTTATGAATGATGAATAAATGACTCATTACTTAAATCATGAAATGTATTAGTGAAATAGAAGCCCTTTGATTGATAAACAAATATTTTGCTAAAACTTGCATCAGTGATTAAATAAGATTTCTGTTTTTAAAATAATAGAAAAATTAACTATTTAACGTGACTTTAACTATAGTCAAATTTAACTACAGATGAAACAACGCGGCCAAAGTTATTGATTGACTTTTGGGTCAAGTACTTTTACATGTACAAATTCTGTGATAAAAGAAGATGCTGTCATGTTACGGAAATTAAAGTGAGTTAACCCACTAAACAAATATTCAATACTTAGGAGTACCAACCGTGAACATTATCTATCATTCAAGTATTTGGATTTACATTATGCTGATTGAAACCTATATGATAAATTATGAATTATAACAAATAGTTCAAACTGGCTTGGGACTGGTGCCTACTGTGGGGTTTAATAAAGGCCAGGCTACACCGGGAACGAAATGAGATTTGCTACGTTAAGCTTACTCGCGTCTCTACCATATCTTTACTAATACTTATACTTTGGGTCACATCATGAGCAATAGAATTAACAGATGCGACGCCTTGTGAGCTGGGCGGCGTGTTTATTATCTAGCTTGTAACTGATTTGCAATCGATTGCTACAGAAAGGCATTCACATTTCACATCACATTATGTAATGAAAGGTGACTTCATGAATCGTCTCCAAAGTCAGTTTTCAACTGACGTACGTAAATAATAAAACAGGGAGAAAAAAAAACAGGCCTTGCTGAGTTTCTTGGCGGTTCTTCTAGGTACAAGGTCTCCCGCCTTAAATTTACTAACCGATGGCGTAGCTTCTAGACATTCATGAGTGCTTGTAACAGCCTAAACTGAATAAATGATTTTGATAGATTTATTGACTCCTTTGACAAAAATAGACATGCGAAAAGAAACAAATAAACAAAACATAAACGCTAAAGAAATTTAACCAGGTAACAATAACACCAACATCACTGTGACTGTTCTTAACTACGATAAATATTGCGATTTGATAGAGTTTTTGCATTGCATCGCATTGCGATTTTAAGCTGTTAAACAATAGCGAAAAAAATCCTCTTTGTTTAAAATTGTCCGCGCAATATGAAAAGATACCGACAGTACTTTGAGATTGAAGAAACTGATTTCAAGATGACAGCGTAATACATTGGTGTGAATCACAAATCTACATAGTGCAATTTGCATACCCATAACAAGAATCTAAATACAATCATCGGAGATCGGTCACCACCGATTTTACTGTTTTAGTAATTGGATTAAAATTATGATAATTTTCATGATTTTTATTCGGTAAGTTAATTTTAAACAAATATACTAGGTAATTTGTCATTTTTAACTATGATTCTTGATATAGAATAAAACGAAAAAAGCTCCGAGAATAATTGCAAAAAAATATATACATAAACGTGTTCTTATTATCGAATATTACATTATACGCAATGTTGCTACTTCCATGTTCATTTTTATTATTTCTTTATTATACCTACTAATCATCGTGTTTCCGGTGTGTTCCCATTCCTCTAAATACATTTCCAAGGTTTTAATTGACAATGGCATATTCGACTAGAAACACTAGTGTAATATTAGTACAAACTTTATGTAAGTATAAAATTGTTTATATTCATAAGATATATTTCTTTTAAAGCATTTTTAAGCTACAGATTGAGAGTTATTTAAAATGTGTAGGTGTCTGTGTATACAGTTATCTATTTTATTGTAAGTATAATACTGTCTTTTTTATTGAATATAATATTTTTATTTTGATTTCACTTTTAAATCACTTTCATACATTACCATTTATCGTTTCTTGTAACAAGACACCATGTAACAAGGGGCACAGTGTAACAAAAGAAATGTTTCTGTATACCCCCTCGTCTGTGTAAGTGGCAGATTTCTACCACGAGTTGAGAAATTTATTTTATTTTTTTATATTTTGCGTTTTATTATATTTAGTAATGGTTTTTAATTTACACGTGTTATATATAGATAAGTTTGTAGAGTAACTATTCAGGATTGATTTAAGCCATAAAATAAGCCTGGATAGTAGAACACGAATAATAAGAAGAAAATCGGTCAACTTTTTTTTCCGTCCGTGAAAAAACAAAATGGAGGGCTACGCAGACCAGGGGCCGGCTATTTGACGTCTGTTGACAGTTGCTTAAAATAGCGAAATTTGAAAGTAATAAAATCACGTCAAGACAGACCATAGAAAAATAAGCAAAAGGGTAGAGATATCCTTATGTTACACTGCCCCCTGCTTGACCCTTCACCTCACTATTTTTAGTTTCTATTTTAAACTTAACAGAGATATGTAGAAGAAAAAAAGAGTTGCTTTATTTCTTTTTTGCCAGGTGACGTAGTGAATTCATTTGAAGCTTATGGTGTCGAAAGAAGGTAATGAATTTTATATAATTAATTAGCCTTTTATAATAAGACATAACCTAAATGAATGAAATAAACGGTAACACTCAGAGACGTCAAAGACAAAATTACTTGTCAAAGTGAAGTTTGGGTGCAACTTTTCACGCATAAGTTTAAATGATGACATAATATTCATATACTTTTAATAGCGTGTGCTTCAAAGCTACTTAATGAAAGTTTTATGTCATACTTGATATAAGCTACAGACTAACCCCCTTATTAATAAACAAGGAATAAGCTTGGAATAGTTACGCCGTGTTTTGTTTTTCACGCCGCCGAATTTCCATTTGATATTCGATGAACAGAGACAAAACATGCAGTAACTAATCCAAGCTTAATCTTCGTTTATTAATAAGGGAGTAAGTGTAGGTCGAAATGCGAAGTATCGGAAATACAATAAAAGTATTAACGTAAACCTAAAAAAAATCATTGACGTCTCTAATGAGCGCTACCCAAAGTATTATTTTATTCATCATTTAAATTTCTTAAATCAAATAATGTGGAACGAATCCCAGGGCCGTAGCCATTGTAGGGAGGGCAATGGTATTTTAATGCATTACCCCATAATTCTCCACCCTAGCTAGGGCACTGACAAAGCCAAATACTTTTTGAATGTTGTTTTGTCTTAGCATTTAAACTTATATAACGACGTGGTAGCTTATATGAATAAATTAACTGTCCTACAATAAACAGTTTAACATTGTCATGGTGCTTCGAAAGTTTATTTATTCATTATAGTCTGTGTTCAGTGTTGCGCCCTATTCTTAAGAAGGAATTATTTACAAAATATACTATTATCTGTTCGAAGTCATAAGAATTTGGAGTTTCATAAGATTCTCGAGTGGTACGAATACAATAGCTTCCCTAATAGTAGTAAATATACATATATTGGTATATTGATAAAAATTCGTCTCACAGTATACGCTCGACTTTTAATATATTAATTTAAATATAAAATTCTAAAATTTCGCTAAGTTAAAGATATGTATTTGTTATTTAAGCACAGGCACACTTTGATATGTATGACGATTAAAAATCACTGTCGTGTGTAAGCAACGCTTCGACAAAGCTGACATATATAACATACCTACTAACTTTAACACTTCACACACGGATCTAATGTTTACAATTCTGTAGGTTACAATTTTATAAATAACTTTTATTACGACTAAACACAAAACATCAAACATGAGCCAACTAGGAAGAGGAACATTCTGAAACTAATTTAACTTAGCACATTTAACATATAAACCTTTATATTATACGGGCATACATAGTTATGAACCCTCAACACCGAACAATGTGTCAAATATTCATCTTACATTTGTAATCATAGAGTCATTGACATTAACAAGAAATTAAAAAAAGATCACGCGCATTTAATTTTGTAACATGTAACAGTGCATTTTCCGTACACAATTCGTTTTTTCTTCTCGAAGTAAATTTAAAACCATTTCACACTCGCCGATTTTTAAACTTCAGCAGCAAACATTCAGCGTCTGATCATAATGAAAAAGCTATATCTACAAAAAAGAACATCGTGTCTACTAAATCGTCCAATATCACGATATATAAGATCGCTCCTTTCTTTAAGAAAATATCAAACATCTCATTTTTTGTCTTCACAAATACTTATCGAAACAGTCTCAACGAACGCGTCACTTGAATCCGCCATCATTCTTACCAACAAAAGTAAGTCCATCAAAATTAATTTCTACGCTCTAGTAAATTCTATTCCGTTTAAAACTGAAATGTTACGTAGAAAATATTTCAACCTCATTTTGCCTATCTATTGTGTTTGCGCTGGTTTCAATTAGCACAAGTTTAGCGTCCATCGCGTGGGTGCTGGAATACTGGTTAGCTTACAGGGCTACGCTGGTAGCGAGGGCAGTGAGCAGCAGTATGGGCAGGGTAGTGCCTGCTACGCTACTGTAGGGGCCCGTCACTGCTCTATCACAGGGGACGTGCTCCAATTCTGAAAAAGTTTGATATAAAGTGTTATAAATTAAAGCAATAAGAAACATAATAATCATCAGCCTATTAATGTCCCCGCTGCAGGGGCATAGGCCTTCCCTATCGATAGAATAGGGAGATTGGGCCATGATCCACCACGCGGGCCCAGTGCGGATTGGTGGGCGCTAACGACTGCAGATGCACCCGGGGCCAACTGCAGAACGAGCTCGGGATAGTAAATTTTTGGTCACCAATCTAATGACCGACCACTGCGAAAGTAGCTTAACATCAACTATTACGGCCGAACACGCTAACTACTTGCGACATTGAGCTCCTCAAAAACAAAAATACCATTTTATATTTAAGTTAAGTGGTGCTAAGATTATGTCTTCCTTGAATTTTTCCAAGGGAACACAGAAGAAGGTTAGAAAGTCGGTTAAGCCCTCGGTCCCCGGGGTCCTGCGGGGCCGCTGGTGCCATCGGCTGTATACGTGTAGTAGTGCGGCGAGGATCTGGAGTACAGGAGCCATTTCTCATCCAGTTTGCGAGGCTTCCTATATGGGCTGAAGTCTTTTAGGTTTTCATAAAAGAAAGGTTCATCTTACCGTTGAGTTTGTTCAGGAAGTCGTTCCAGAAGGCACAGGCGGAGGCCCTCGGTCCCCGGGGTCCTGCGGGGCCGCTGGTGCCATCGGCTGTGTACGTATAGTAGTGCGGCGAGGATCTGGAGTACAGGGGCCATTTCTCATCCGGCTTGTGTGGCTTACTGGAAAGAAGTATCGTTGCCACCTTAGAAGTAATTGGTATACTCTTTGACCATGATAATAAGAACGAATAATGTTGTGCTGAGTTAAATAATTAAGGTTCCCTAGTATTGGAACGAGACTTGGAATATAATGGCCACCTCTCGCCTGACTTATGCGGCGTCCTGATAAGAATCATTGTTAAGTAAGAAATAAGAAATAACAAGAGTATCAGAAATCAAAATGAATTTTGAAGTTTACTTATCGATAATTAGTGGCCCGCCCTCGCTTCGCTTCGGTGTAGAGCTGTATTGTAGCATCATCATCAGCCTATTAATGTCCCTACTGCTGGGGCACAACACAAGCCTTCCCTATGTATGAAATAGATAGATTGGGCCATGACTCACCACGCGGGCCCAGTGTGTATTGGTGAGTGCTATCGACTGCATATGCAGCCGGAACTAACGGCTTTATGAGCCTTCCAAAATACGGAGGAGCTATTATAGAGATAAGTTTTTGGTTAACCGTCTAAGTACCGACCATTGCGTAAGTTGTTCAACTCCAACGATCGCTGCCGAAAGCGCTAACCATTTGCTCGAGCTTTTCATCAAGTTTATTTATTTAAAATTTTATTGACCAAAATACAAGAGAATGGTACAAAAGGCGGACTTAATGCTAATAGCATTCTCTCTCAGTCAACCTTTTGGAAAAAAGAAAAACGCGAACGGCGGTATAAAGCTGGATATAATAAAAATAGATATAATAAATAATATAAAAAATATATAAGCATTAACATAGATACACATACTACGACAGGAATATACATACAAAATTATATTTAAATATATATATATAAACACATAAATATACACATGATGATGATTAGTAAAGTGACTCTCCATCTTAAATTTTGATGCAGATGAGTACAAAAATTCTCAGTAGTTACTTACCCGGTCAGAGCGAATCTGGTGAAGGACTGCATGATGTGTGCGGCCAAGTCCCTCTCGCGAGTGTGGTACTGCAGCGACATGTTTAGCGGGTGGCCAAACACGTACTCCATCTCATCGCCGTGCATCACGCCCATCCATTCGCCCCAAAGACTCGTGCTGGTGCGCTGTAATCAAAAGACAAATAGGTTGTTACTAATCAATATACAGTAGAACGCCGATTACCCGAATAAATTGGGACCGGGGTCGAATCGGATAATCGAAATTTAGGATAATCGGACATAGACTGGTAATAAATAAAAACGAACTGACACACATGGAATAAATCTTATTAGTTTAACAAGCACTGTTCTATAATACTAAATTTAATAATAGAGGTACATAGTAGCAAAAAAAAAACCGCGCCACGCAATACATGTAGTGTCTTGCCTCTAGCTTTCAACCATAACAGTTGAAATATATCTGGACTCCAGCGATTTGTTACAACAAAACAAAAATAACTTGGTTTGATTTTTTTAAATTACGCTTAGGAGGAGCTCGATGGCGCAAGTGGTAAGCGCGTTTGGCTGCGATCGATGAACTTAAGCAACTTTCGCAGTGGTCGGTCATTGGATGGGTGACCAAAAATTACTATCTCGAGCTCCTCCGTGCTTCGGAAGGCACGTTAAGCCGTTGATCCCGGCTGCATCTGCAGTCGTTAGCACCCACCAATCCGCACTGGGCCTGCGTGGTGGGTCATGGCCCAACCTCCCTATTCCATCCATAGGGAAGGCCTATGGGGACATTAACCATGACCCCCCAGCAGTGGGGACATTAATAGGCTGATGATGATGATGATGACGCTTAGGACTGATTCGGATAACTGGCGATTCGGTTAATCGGCGTTCTACTGTACTAGTAAGTTTAACTGTTACTAGCCTCCGCTCGCGACTTCGGCTGCGTTATTGATAGTTTTGTGAGAATTGATGAGATAATTAAAGATTTTCAACCTATAATATTTGTGGTATAAAAATTTTCTATGTCTAAAACCATCTATTTGTGCCAAATTTCATCCAAATCCGTTTAGCTGTAAGTGACAATCGTACACACTTACACATTTAGTATATTAGCAGGATTAACTGTCATAATCACTAACATTAGCCATAATCACGGAGTAACTGTAGTAGCGTTGAACCTTGCAACAGTGCCGAAATGCCGGAGACTCCCAAAAGACAAGATACCTTAATAGTAGCAATCATGCTAACTACTAGGTTTAAACTTAGTGTTAATGTTTTGTGTCTACATATTTTTCATGTTTATAGTCACAGTTTCTATGCAAAACATCAGCCATGCGGTAGTTCTTTAGAATCGTTCAATCGTGATTTAGTAGCAAAAATAAATAGATGTTTACGTTAAGTTGAAAAATTGCGCTTCATAATGCGATGCAACTTTGATTGCACCAAAGTTGAGTCTAAGTTAAGCGCTTTCTGCTCGAATACAAGAGTGCTCATTGCCTACAATAGTTGACTAAACTATGCTGACCTTTGATTTCTATGAAAACTTTGTAAATGGATTTCTTATGTCTCTTCCTACCTCTTAGATATCAATAAGTTAATATTGATAAGAACTTTTGTTATAACGTATTATATCGTCACCGGTCTGAGCTCTTTCTGCTCTAATGGGTATTTTGGAATCCTAATACTCAAGACGCCTTCGCAATTTTCTACTTTATAAACTTGTCAAGCTGAACTGAAAGAAAGTGAAACTGAAAGTGTCTCCATCAACTCAATCTTGTTGTTCAATTATTACGATACACCCACACACTAAAGTTTGTGTGTTATCAGATCAGTCTATTTTTGGAATTATCATTGGGCCAAAATGCTTTAATATTTTTGTTGTTAATTGAAATTTAAACAAAAGGTTACATAAAAATATAGGTACAAGTGTTTGCTTAAAAATAAGCATCTAATAATATCCGAAATTCAATCAGTCTATTTTTGTAAATATCGTTTTACCTAAACGTTATAACGATACTTTTCACAACACAAAAGGTCGTAACACCAATTTACAAAAAATAAACTTTACAAAACTTTCCTGTTAATAAAGCTTATAGGCCAGTGGAAACTTTACCATGGAAAAATAACCCACGATGAACATACAATGAATCTACCTACCTTGAGATAGCTCGATGGCGCAAGTGGTTAGCGCGTTCGGCTGCGATCGTTGAATTTAAGCAACTTTCGCAGTGGTCGGTCATTGGATGGGTGACCAAAAAGCTTCTATCTCGAGTTCCTCCGTGCTTCGGAAGGCACGTTAAGCCGTTGGTCCCGGCTGCATCTGCAGTCGTTAGCACCCGCCAATCCGCATTGGGCCCGCGTGGTGGGTGATGGCCCAATCTCCCTATTCCATCCATAGGGAAGGCCTGTGCCCCAGCAGTGGGGACATTAATAGGCTGATGATGATGATGATTTGGTTAAAATCTGCATCAAAGGATACATTTTCATCCTAGCGAAATACACTCGACAGCAAACAAACCGGGTCACCCGCTAGTACCCTGGAGCTCCGATTCGATTATCTCAAAAAATATAATTATCAAAGCTATATCTACTGAAAGTGCGTTTCATGATGAGTAAAACAAAAAAAATATCTACAGTACTGTCAACTTATGTTGTAATCAAGCAATAAATATAATGCTGCGAAAGTTGCAATTATCGTTTTTTTTTTTTAATAGGATAGTCTATTGGATTGATAACACTAGGTCGTTAGCCCGAATATGAGTGCCAGTGGAATTCGGGTAAACGACTAACTGTAAATGAACGGAGTTGAGTACGCCCTAGCCCGTATTCCAGTGTAAATATTGCTTCGGGTGCACGAAAGACATTAGTCGAATACGGGCCAAGTTTTATCGAGCCAAAAGGCTAAGAAAACACGGTGCGATTTTCCCGCGCCCCCTTCGGCAGCGGGAAAGCTGTGTTATAATTTTTATTTCTTAAGCATGTAACTGCTATATGTTTAAATCTAACGATCATATTACTAGAAAAAAATCCACGCGGATACGGATAGATGGCGCTGTCTTCCTGCTTAAGAAAGGCTAGGGAAAGTTGGACACGGCCTTCAGGGCCGCGGTAGCATAATGGTCAGTGCATTCACCCGGATAGCCAAGGGTGCGGGTTCAAGTCCCGTCTGCTGCCTAGTCCGCGTGGATTTTTTTCTAGTAATATGTTCTTTAGATTTAAACATATAATATAATGGTCAGTGCATTCACCCGGATAGCGAAGGGTGCGAGTTCGAGTCCCGTTTGCTGCCTGGTCCGCGTGGTTTTTTTTCTAGTTATATCTTCTTTAGATTTAAACATATATAATGGTCTGTGCATTCGCCCAGATAGCGAAGGGAGCGGGTTCGAGTCCCGTCTGCTGACTGGACCGCGTGGTTTTTTTTCTAGTAATATATGTTCTTAAGCTGTGTTATTTCAAAACTCACGAGACCGCAGTCGTGTTGCAGTTGAATTCGAGATGTGGCTTTTGGTCATCTGCAAAAAAATCGGAAAGCGCGCGGGCCAGACCCGCCGCGTCTGCGGGTGTTTGCAGCCCGCGCGCGTCCTCAGTAGGTATCTCAAACACCCGCGCTCTGCGAGTGCAAGCGATTTGCTTTTGCGTTTTACCTACAATTTAACATTCTACGCGAGTAGCGATCCCGCAGCCGCGGCAGGCGCAGGAGGAAATCGTGCCGTTAGTTCTTAACATTACTGGACTACTCTGCCTCGTAGAGCCAGATTATAATTACATATTATCAACGTTCCAAAAATACCTTTACGTGAAGCCTAAATGTGTGTTTTGAGAAATTCATATGGTATACACCTGTATCGTCCTTCAACCCGAGACCTTGGTAACAGCTACACGTAGTATTTAGTAACTTTGTTTTAAGTGGAACATTGAATTAAAAGCGACCGTGTACGTACATACGCGGCATCCGTTTAATAATGCAAGGAGCTAGCCGGCTGGCATGCGTTGCCGTGCACGATATAGGTATGACTGTTGGTGCGAACATGAAAGTTGCTGGCGTTTGTGATGAAAATATACTGCAAATTTCAACAGAAGAAGGTGGTTCGTAATGCTCTAAAACAAAAAATAAAAACCGACTTCAAAAATGAAAATGGAACTAAGAAGTGAACATAATATCCCGGAAATACGAAATTGGATGGCACCTAGTATGATTGATACTGTTGATAATGATGTCCTTCTATCAAAGTTGGCTAACGTGGGTTGCACACCGCACACGTTGTCATTTTTCGCCTCATATCTACGAGACCGATGCCAATACGTGGATTGCAGCGGCAGGCTTTCCGAACCCTACTTTACAAGATCAGGTGTAAGTCAAGGCAGTAATTTAGGACCTCTGCTATTTATTTTAATAATCAACGACTTGCCGAAAGTAGTCAAGATGTCTACACCATTATTATTTGCTGATTACCTAAAATTAGTTTGTACAATAAAGGGATCCGGTCACGACTCTTTGCAACAGGATATAGATAGGATAGTAGAGTGGAGTTTTAAAAATAAATTGTACTTCAACGTAGACAAATGTTCCGTATTATCGTTTAGTTGAGCACGTAGCCCGAGTCACCATCAGTACTACATGGACAGCATGCCACTGAAACGTGTATCCGAAGTGAAGGACTTAGGCGTGCGCTTCACTACCGATGTGAATTTTCGACAGCATATCGTAGAAGTTTGTAAGAAAGCTTACCGGAATTTGGGCTTAGTTTTACGTCAAGCGAACGAATTCACAAATCTCAGTGCAATAAAAGCTTTATACGAATCCCTCGTAAAAAGCCATTTAGAATGCAATGCTTTAGTCTGGTCGCCACAAGAAGCGAAATATAAATTAATGTTAGAACGCATCCAGAACGAATTCGTGAGATTTATTTTTATGAAGCAGTATGGTGTGTATCCAGGCTTTCCACTTTTGTACCCTACTTTGTTCACACTAGGCATGACGGGCTATTTTAAATTAGAAGTAAGGAGGGAAGTGTCTCTGGCCACTTAATTATTCAAAGTGATTCGTGGTAAACTAAGGAACCCAGAGATTCTTCACACTGTGTGCCCAACGAGTACGCGGGGGACGGAGGCAGCCTCCCCTGTGTCGCGCGCGCGCTCTAACCTGCAGCACAGCGCGCCTCTCGCGCGCG